AGCACCTAGAGCAGCTGCCTCGCTAGCACCAAGAGCAGCAGCCTCACCAGCACCTAGAGCAGCAGTCTCAATGCCCGGGTCGGGCGGGAAACACCGGTAACAGTCACCCTCCTCACTAATAGACACAGTATACAAAGCATCAAGAATAACATCAAAGTCAAGGTCAAAGAAAGCTACCCCTGCCCTAGACCGCTCGCCCTAGCGAGGGATCTCAGTGGCCTCAGGGAACTGGTGACGCCAAGCGTCCGTCAGGCGGCCAAAGCAGAGCTGGGTGGGGTGCGCACCCCCACACTGCTCACCTGCCCGGTCGCCGGTGCGCAGGACGTAGGTGCACGGACCAGTACCCCCACCCCGCTGGCGGGCAGCGTACCACTCACGGAGCTGCTGAGGGGACAGGGTCTCCCGACTGCGCTGCTGCTGCAGGCGCTGACCACCACCGGAGCCACTCCTCTGCGAAGAGCCACGGCCTCCTCCTCCTCCGCCTCCGCCACCGCCTCCTCCACCTCCGCCACCTCCACCACCTCCGCTCCCACTGCCACCGCCGCCGCCGCCTCCGCCTCCACTGCCGCCACCGACACCTCCACCTCGCCACCACTCCCACCACCACCCCCACTCCCTCCACTGCCTCCACCGCCACCTCCACCTGCCCCCGCTAGCTCCTCCAGCGCCCCTGCCCCCCTTACCCTTGCCAGAGCGACGCTTCCCACTAGGGGTAGACGCCGCACCGACCGACTCCAGACCAACGAGGTCGGCCGCAGCAGCAGAGGCAACAGAGGGCAAAAGAGGGGAGGGGGAACACCCCTCAAAGATGGGGGTGCGAGGGTCACCACTAGAGGCTCCTACAGCTACTATGCTCTTTTCTTCCGCTAGGAGGGCCTTCTTGAGGAGGTCAACGGTGAGAGTGGTGGGGCAAACTGAGAGGAAGTGGTCCCTGACTACGCGAAGGGAGTCAGGGAGACGGGTGACTATGTAGTAGAGGGTGATGTACATGGGGGGGGGGGGGGGGGGTTCTTGGCGCAGAACTCAGCAGGAAGCGCAGCGCGGTAGCGAGAATCACTAGTGCAGAGGTGCGTAATGAGGTCAGCGACTGTGGGAAAGGCAGCAAGGTCAGGGAAGAGGTACGGTAGCATGATGCGGCTCAGTGCAGCAGTGGCAGGGGAGGAGTAGCGTGCAACTACAGCGTCGTACAAGGTCTGAGCATTCTTGTACTGGCTAAAGTGCGCACGCTCAGAGGTAGGCAGGTGGCGACGCACAGCAAGACGTGCAGCAGCATCGCGCGTGGCCCAGTGTGAGCGAACAGTGGCGTCAGCATCAGCAGCGGGGGCAGGAGATGCACCAGAAGTGAGGTCAAAGAGGGAGAGGCCGTCTGCCCTATCACACTATAAGAAAAGCTGCAGGTCATCTATCCAGACGTCAAAGTCAATGGCCCGACCCTCAGCGTCAAAAGCGAGGACACTAGGGGTAGCCATGACAGCAGTAGACTAGCAGCGCAAACAGTAGGGTGAGGGCAGTGCTGTGAAGAAGGCGCTGCTCTTACCGGACAAGGCGGTTCGGGCGGCTCGGCTGCAGGGCCACTCGGCGGCTCGGCAGCTAGGCAGCTCGGCGGCTCGGCTGCTGGGCGGCTCGGCGGCTCGACTGCTGGGCGGCTCGGTGGCTCGGCGGCTCGGCTGCTGGGCGGCTCGGCGGCTCGGCTGCTCGGCTGCTGGGCGGCTCGGCTACTGGGCGGCTTGGCTGCTGGGCGGCTCGGCTGCTGGGCGGCTCGGCTGCTGGGCGGCTCGGCTGCTGGGCGGCTCGGCAGGGCCGCTGAGAGGGCGGTGACCGGGGCCGCTGGGAGGAGGCGGCGGGGCCGCTGAGAGGAGGCGGCGGGGCTGCAAAGGTAGGTGGCGGGGCCGCAGGTAGGTGGCGGGGCCGCACAGGTAGGTGGCGGGGCCGCGGGTAGGTGGCGGGGCCGTTGGTAGGTGGCGGGGCCGCAGGTAGGTGGCGGGGCCGCACAGGTAGGTGGCGGGGCCGCGGGTAGGTGGCGGGGCTGCTGGTTGTCGCCGGTAAGGGCGGCGTCAGGGCCGCAGGGCGGCGCGAGGGCCGCGGGGTGGGCGACGAGGCCGCAGGGCGGAGGATCGGGGCCGGGAAAGGGCGGCGCAATGGCCGCGGGGTAGGCGACGAGGCCGCCGGGCGGCGGGTCGGGGCCGAGGAAGGGAGGCGCGAGGGCCGCAAGGCAGGCGACAGGGCCGCTAGGGCGGCGCGACGGGGCGAGAAAAAAAAAGGGGGAGCGTGACTCGGGCTAGGGCTGAGCGCGCTTCGGGCAGGATAAAAAAGTCGAATTGGTGGGCCCTAGGAACTGTTCCCACGAGGGAACCTGCTCGATACCATGAGAGAATTGAAACGAGAATGAATAAACAATGAATGAACTATGAATGATTTGGGTACAAGTACTAAACCTAATTGGGTTGTACCCCTTATGGTGTCAGAACATATAGCTTACTTGTTTGTGTAGGCTATAGTGGGGTATCCCATAGGGGGTACAACACAATTAGGGTTTCCTATTTGTACTCACTTCGTTCATACTCATTTCATTCTCGTTCAATTCTTCTCATGGAATCAGAGCAGGTCCCCTCCTAGGGACTGTTCCTAGGGCCCACCGAAGCGCGCCCCGAGGCGCGCGTTCTTTTTTTTAGCGACCCTGCGTGTCGCCCCTACCGTCGCGCTCCCGCCGCTCCCTCCTCTTACGGCCGCCCGCCCTAGTGCCCTGACGGCCGCCCGCCCTAGCGCCCTGACGGCCGCCCGCCCTAGCGCCCTGACGGCCGCCCGCCCTAGCGCCCGAGCGCCAACCGCCCTAGCGCCCTGACGGCCGCCCGCCCTAGCGCCCTGACGGCCAACCGCCCTAGCGCCCTGACGGCCGCCCGCCCTAGCGCCCTGACGGCCGCCCGCCCCAGCGCCCGAGCGCCGCCCGCCCTAGCGCCCGAGCGCCGCCCGCCCTAGAGCCCTGACGGCCGCCCGCCCTAGCGCCCGAGCGCCGCTCGCCCTAGCGCCCTGACGGCCGCCCGCCCTAGCGCCCGTGCGCCCCTCGCCCAAGCGCCCTGACGGCCGGCCGCCCGCCCTAGCGCCCGAGCGCCGACCGCCCTTTCGCCCTTCCGGCCGCCCGCCCGAACGCCTGAGCGCCGCCCGCCGTCGCCCCAACGCCCTAGCGCCCGACGCCCGCGAGCCGCCCGTCGCAGCCGCCCGTGAGCTCCCTGAGCCGCCCGCGCCGCCGTCCCTGAGCCGCCTGTGCAGCCGCCCGCGAGCCACCAGTGCGCCGCCCGTCGCGACATCAGCGCCGCACGAGCCGCCCGTACAGCCCAGCAGCCCGAGTCGCCCGAGCCGCCCGCGCCGCCCCAGCAACCCGAGCCGCCCGAGCCGCCCGAGCCGCCCGAGCCGCGCGAGCCGCCCGAGCCGCCCCAGCCGCCCGAGCAGCCCGAGCCGCCCGAGCCGCCCGAGCCGCCCGAGCCGCCCGCGCCGCCCCAGCAACCCGATGCCGCCCGAGCCGTGCCGCTGTTCCTGAGCTGTGTTCCTCTGCTGCTGCACTACCCGACTCTCCCAGCCCGGTGAGACTTTCAGCTGCTGCCATGGCCACCCCCAATGTCCTTACTTTTGACGCTGAGGGGAGGGCCATTGACTTTGCCGTCTGGATTGAAGACCTGCAGCTGTACTTACTTTGTGATGCGATAGATGAGGTCTCTCTCTTTGACTTTGTCTCTGGCGCTGTCCCTGCCCCACCTGCTGATGCTGACTCTGCCGTTCGCTCCAAGTGGGCGACCCGCGATGCTGCTGCACGTCTTGCTGTGCGTCGCCACCTCCCTTCCTCTGAGCGTGCCCACTTTAGTCAGTGCAAGACCGCTCAGGCCTTGTACGACGCTGTAGTTGCACGCTACTCCTCCCCTTCCTCCGCTACCCTTAGCCGCCTCATGCTACCGTTTCTCTTCCCTGACCTCGCCTCCTTTCCCACTGTTGCTGACCTCGTTACCCACCTCCGTGCTAGTGACACCCGCTACCGCGCTGCCCTTCCTGCTGAGTTTCGCGCTGCAAACCCTCCTCCCATGTACATCACTCTCTACTTTCTCGTCACCCGTCTCCCTGAGTCCCTTCGTGCCGTTAGGGACCAGTTTCTCTCTGTCTGTCCCACCACTCTAACTGTCGATCTCCTTGAGGAGTCCCTGCTAGCGGCTGAGAAGAGTATTGTCGCTGTAGGGGCCTCTCGGGGTGACCCTCGCACCCCCATCTTTGAGGGGTGTGGTCCTTCCCCCCTGCTGCCCTCTGTCGCCTCTGCCGCTGCGGCCGACCTCACTGGTTTTGAGTCGGTCGGCGCGGCGTCTGCCCCCAGCGGCAGACGCCGCTCTGGCAAGGGCAAAGGGGGCAAGGGAGCGGGTGGAGCTAGAGGGGGCGGTGGAGGAGGCGGTGGGGGTGGCGGGGGGAGTGGGGGTGGCGGTGGGGGTGGTGGCGGGAGTGGAGGTACTGGTGGCGGCGGTGGAGGCGGAGGTGGCGGCGGAGGTGGTAGCGGAGGAGGCGGTGGGAGCGGTGGGAGCGACGGTCCTGGTGGGGGAGGTGGCGGTGGAGACGGGGGTGGCGGTGGAGGCGGGGGTGGCGGTGGAGGCGGGGGTCGGAGTGGCTCGTCCCAGCGGAGCAGCTCTGGGGGTGGTCAGCGCCAGCAGCAGCAGCAGCAGCAGCCGCAGCAGAAGCCACAGCAGCAGCAGCGCTCTCGCACCGTCCCCGGCCCTCAGCAGCTCCGTGAGTGGTACTTGCAGCGTCAGCGTGGTGGTGCGCTTGGTCCCTGCCCCTACGTTCTTCGCACAGGTGACCGTGCAGGGGAGAGGTGTGGAGGCGCCCACACAGCCCGCCGCTGCTTTGGCCGCCTGACCGACGCCTGGCGTCAGCAGTTTCCGGAGGCCGCTGAGATCCCCCGCTGGGGAGAGCTGTCTAGGGCTGGTGTAGCTATTTATGATCTTGATTTTGATGCTATTCTCTCTGCTATGTATGCTGTGACTGGTAGTGATGAGGATGACTGTTACTGGTGTTTCCCGCCTGACCCGGGCATTGGTACTGCCGCGTCAGGTACTAGTGAGGCTGCTGCTCTAGGTGCCAGTGCGTCTGTGCTCTCAGGTGCTGGTGAGTCTGCCCTCTCAGGTACTGTGTCGGCTTCGGCCTCTCACACCTTCACCCTTGACTCTGGAGCGTCTCGATCCTTCTTTAGGGACCGCACCACTCTCACGCCGCTGAGTCGGCCGGTTGCGGTGTCCCTGGCTGACCCCTCTGGGGGGCCTGTCCTGTCTCGCTTCTCCACTGTCCTCCCGTGTCCGGCGGCCCCCTCTGGCACCCTGACTGGTCTCTACCTCCCCTCGTTCTCGACGAACTTGGTGAGTGGTGCTGACCTCCAGGATGTGGGTGTCCACCAGTTCACCCCTGCTCGTCAGCGGGTGACCCACTGCACGGAGGCGGATACAGGTCGCCACCTGGCTACGTTTACACGTCGGCCAGGGTCGAGCCTGTACACACTGACCACTGCTTCTCCTCCAGGTGCTGAGTCTGGTAGGGTCCCTTCGTCTGGTCAGGTGTTTGCTGCAGCGTCCAGGTCTGGTCCTGAGTCTGCCCCCTGCTCGTGTCGTCGTCTGTCTCACGAGACCCTCCTCTGGCACCACCGCCTTGGCCACCCCTCTCTGCTTCGGCTCAGAGGCATGGCCTCGCGAGTCCTTGTGTCTGGTCTTCCCCAGTCTCTCCCTCCCCTTCCTCCGGGCCCTGGCCCCACCTGTGTCCCCTGGGTCAAGGGGCGCCAGCGTGCTGCCCCTCACTCCTCCCAGTTTCATCCGACAGAGGCCCCGTTGTAGACGCTTCACATGGACGTGTGGGGCCCAGCCCGCGTCCGTGGACAGGGTCAGGAGCGCTACTTCCTGCTGGTGGTTGACGACTACTCGCGTTACACCACAGTCTTCCCCTTGCGCAGCAAGGGTGAGGTCACTGAGGTGTTGATCGACTGGATCCGCGCAGCTCGTCTCCAGCTTCGGAGGAGCTTTGGCTCTGACTTCCCTGTTTTACGTCTGCACTCGGACAGAGGCGGAGAGTTCTCCTCTGGCCTCCTGAGTGCCTACTGTCGTGCGCGAGGCATCCGTCAGACCTTCACGCTTCCGGACTCACCACAGCAGAATGGGATTGCAGAGCGCCGCATTGGCATGGTCATGGACGTCGCTCGTACGTCCATGATGCATGCGGCTGCTCCCCATTTTCTGTGGCCGTTTGCGGTCAGTTACGCTGCGCACCAGATCAACCTCCACCTCAGGGTCTCTCGACCGGAGACCTCCCCAGCCCTGCTGTGGACGGGGAAGGTTGGCGATGCGTCGGCGTTCCGGGTCTGGGGATCTCGGGCGTTTGTTCGCGACCTGTCTGCGGACAAGCTGTCCCCTCGTGCTTCTCCCTGCGTCTTCCTGGGGTTCCCCCCCGACGCCCCTGGGTGGCAGTTTTACCACCCCACCTCTCGACGTGTTCTGTCCTCCCAGGACGTCACGTTCGACGAGTCGGTACCCTACTACCGCCTCTTCCCCTTCCGCACTCCGTCCCTCCCCCCACCCCCGCTCTTCTTGGTACCAGGTCCCCCCCCGGTAGTCCCCCTCCCCCCTCAGGGTCCTGCCCCTTCAGGTGTGTCCCAGGTAGACGCGGTCGAGCCTGTCGAGGTCACTGGTGACTCTGGTGCTGCTGCGGGAGCTGAGCCTGGGGGTGCGGAGCCTGGGGGTGCTGAGCCTGGAGGTGCCGAGTCTGGGGGTGCTGAGCCTGGGGGTGCTGAGCCTGGGGGTGCTGTGCCTGGGGGTGCTGAGCCTGGAGGTGCCGAGTCTAGGGGGTGCTGTGCCTGGGGGTGCTGAGCCTGGAGGTGCTGCGCCTGGGGGTGCTGTGCCTGAGGTTGCTGAGCGTGGGGGTGCTGTGCCTGGGGGTGCTGTGTCTAGGGGTTCTGCGCCTGGAGGTGCTGTGCCTGGGGGTGCTTCGTCTCGCCGGGAGCCACTCTCCCCACAGAAGCTGCGTGGGTGGTTTGCCAGGCGCTGGAGGCGTGCTGCTGGTGCGGGTGGTTCTTCGACTGCAGAGGGTACTGCTGCCGCGCGTCCCGCCGGTGCTAGTACTGTGGGTGCTGGAGCTGCTGGGTCTGAGAGTTCTCCTGGAGCTGGTCCTACTGAGGGTGTTGGCGCTGAGCCTGCCGTTGGCGGTCCAACTGACACTGCTCCTGGTGCTGCGGCTGGGGGTTCTGGAGCTTCTGGTGGTGCTGCTGGAGGTGCTGCTGGAGTGGGTGCTCCTGCCGGGGCTACTGGTGCTGTTCCTGCTGTTTCTAGCGTCGCCGCGCGGCCCCGACCGTACTTCGTTCCGCTCCTGCAGCAGGTTCTTGGTCTTACACCTCCTCCTCCTCCCTTAGAGGGTCCGCAGCCTGTCCAGTCACAGCCACAGCTACAGCCTGCCTCCCCTTTGCCTGCTCCTTCTCCCTACGCTGGTCCGACTGGAGGTCTTACTGAGCGTCGTGAGCCTGCGTCTCGTCCTGTGTCGCCTGTTCGTACTGAGCGCGCTAGTGGTCGCGGGTCGCGTCAGCGTCCTCCTCCTGTCCCTGGCACGCACCGGATGTCACTGCGTCGGTCCACTGCTCCTCTGCGTGCCCCTTTGCCTTCTCCTCCTGCTTCCTCTCTTCCTGCTCTTGCCGACCCGGAGTCGGACTCTCTTCGTGCTGCCAGTCCTACTGTCACGCGTCTCCTGGCTACTGCTGTCACTGACCCCTCCTTCGAGTCGTCTGCTGCGTCTGCCCTTGTCACTGAGCTTGTCGACTTTGCTGCGCGCTGTCGTCTAGACTACGCTGCTCGTCTTGTCACTGAGTCTGAGTCCGCCTGTCCTCCGTCCGTCGGGGGTGAGTGTGCCCTTGGCACGGACGTCCTTGAGGACAGGCAGGAGGAGTTCCAGTGTCTGGCCGCCGCTTCACCTCGTCTCGCGTCTGTACTGCTAGCCCCTGAGGGAGACCCCGATGCACCAGACATCCCGACTCCGCGCTCTTACGCGGAGGCGATAGAGGGTCCCTACTCCTCTCAGTGGCAGGCAGCTATGGATGCAGAGATGGCTTCCTGGAAGTCCACAGGCACCTACGTTGACGCTGTTCCCCCTCCTGGGGCGAACATCGTCAGTGGCATGTGGATTTTCAGGGTGAAGCGGCCGCCGGGTTCTCCGCCTGTCTTCAAGGCGCGTTACGTGGCTCGTGGCTTCAGTCAGCGGCAGGGGGTTGACTACTTTCAGACCTTCTCCCCCACCCCGAAGATGACCACTCTTCGGGTTCTGCTGCACGTTGCTGCTCACCGTGACTACGAGCTGCACTCTCTCGACTTCAGCACAGCTTTCTTGCAGGGCAGCCTGCACGAGGAGATCTGGCTGCGTCGCCCACCTGGCTTCACTGGGTCTTTCCCTCCTGGTACCCAGTGGAGTCTCCGGCGTCCAGTCTACGGTCTCTGCCAGGCGCCACGTGAGTGGCACGACACACTGAGGACTACGCTCGCGGCACTTGGGTTTGCTCCTTCCACTGCCGACCCGTCGCTGTTTCTGCGCACCGACACCTCTCTGCCGCCGTTCTACATCCTCGTGTACGTCGACGACTTGGTCTTTGCCACAGCTGACACTGCTGGACTCGCCTACGTGAAGTCCGAGCTGCAGAAGAGACACAGGTGCACTGACCTGGGTGAACTGCGCAGCTACCTTGGCTTGCAGATCACCCGGGACAGAGCACGCCGCACCATTACCCTGACTCAGTTACACATGGTGCAGCAGGTCCTTCAGCGCTTCGGCTTCACGTACTCCTCGCCTCAGGCCACTCCTCTGCCTACTCGCCACTCGCTCTCAGCTCTGCCTTCGGATGAGTCCGTAGAGTCGAGTGGCCCGTTTGCAGAGCTTGTTGGCTGCCTCATGTACCTGATGACCTGCACACGACCTGACCTCGCATACCCTCTTAGCATTCTCGCACGCTATGTTGCTCCTGGGAGACACCGACCAGAGCACATGGCTGCAGCGAAGAGGGTGTTGCGCTACTTGTGCAGTACGTCGGGCATGGGGCTAGTGCTTGGAGGGCGCAGTCCAGTGGTCCTCACTGGGCACGCAGACGCTTCTTGGGCTGACGACCAGGCTACGCAGCGGTCGTCACAGGGTTACACCTTCAGCCTTGGTTCCGGCTCTGTCTCGTGGCGGGCCACCCGCTCGTCTTCTGTTCTCGGCTCCAGTTGTGAGGCTGAGATCTACGCTGGGGCTATGGCTGCACAGGAGTTACGCTGGCTCACCTACCTGCTGACCGACCTTGGAGAGCAGCCTCGTTCTCCTCCAGTCCTGTATGTAGACAACAAGGCCATGCTGGCCTTGTGTCGAGAGCAGCGACTGGAGCACAGAACGAAGCACATTGCTCTTCGCTACTTTCTTGCTCGTGAGCTACAGCAGCGTGGACAGCTGCGACTTGCGTACGTGGCCTCTGAGGCCAACACTGCTGATGTCTTCACCAAGGCACTTGCGCCTTGTGATCATCAGCGTTGCTGCACGCAGTTGGGTCTTGTGCCTGTCTTGCCTCACTTGCTCTCCTCTTGACCTTGCTTGTACCTTCGCATATATATACTCTTGCTCTTGCTTGCTTGACTCTTGTATACCTCTATATATGATCTTGCATGTGAACTGGCCTTGTGGCCTTTGAACTTGTGCTCGGAATGCGTGGTGACTTTGTGATCCACCCTGAGCTTTGCTTTGCTTTGCTTGACTGGTCTTGTGACCCCTTGTTCTCCCCCACTTTGCCTATGGGGGTGTGTCAGAACATATAGCTTACTTGTTTGTGTAGGCTATAGTGGGGTATCCCATAGGGGGTACAACACAATTAGGGTTTCCTATTTGTACTCACTTCGTTCATACTCATTTCATTCTCGTTCAATTCTTCTCATATGGGCTACCCCACTATAGCCTACACAATATGCATGAGCTATAATGTTCTGACATAGGTAATAATCCCCCTTCTGCGTCGTTACTGTTGTTGATTCCTAGTCGTGAAGAACGGGTCCGTAGTGTAGCCGTGGGTGAATAGTTTTGTTAGTAGGGGGTTCAAGTGGGTGATGAGTACTGCAGCGAATTGAACTATCAGTCTAGTCAGGGCGTCGGCGATGTTATTCGCCCCTTTCTTGTATGTGATGTGGTAGGTGAAGTGGCTCTCCATGTAATCCAGCCACCAAATTTGTCGCGGGTTGAGGTTGGGCTAAGCTCGTAGGTACTGTAGGGACTTCTGGTCCGTGCGAAAAGAGACGTCGGCGCCCACCAAGTAGCAGCGCCACAATTTGAGCGCGTGAATAATAATGAGCATCTCCTTGTCGTGAATCGGGTAGTTGCGCTCGGCTGCCTGCAGCTTGCGTGACTCGTTAGCAATTAGCTGCAGTCCGTTCCCAAAATCATGGAGGAGCACAGCTCCGATGGCGAAATCAGAGGCGTCGGTGACGACTTCGAACGGCTTCGATGGGTCGGCGATGCGCAAAACCGGGGGAGGACACGAGAAAATTCTTCAACTCCTGAAAAGCCGCCTCAACTTCCTCCACCCACACAATATTCTTGTCCTTGTGCGGCAGGTCGGTCAGCGGACCGATTATCCCCACCATATTCGGAATAAACCACCTGACGAAATTCACCAAGCCCATAAAACTCTGAAGTTCCGTGATGTTAGTCGGGGACTTCCACTCCTGAATAGTCTTGATTTTTGTCGGGTCGATCTTGATGCCATCGCGTGAGTTACGTGCCCCCAAAACTCCAACTCCAGCTCAAAGAACTCGCACTTAGAGCCATTGGCGATGAGGCAGTTCTCTTGCAACTGTTTAAACACTGCGTCGAGGTCTTGGAGTTGTTGTTCCCTTGTCCTGCTAAAAACCAGAATGTCGTCCAAATAGACGATAACACACTCCTCGAGAAATTCTCGGAAGAGCCTGTTCATGGTCAGTTGAAATGTCAAAGGTGCGTTAGTGAGGCCGAATGGCATGTGTCACATCTGTCGGGGTCCCTGTGTCCAAGGTTCGGCGCCACCACTCAAGCGCTGCGCCTCGAAGAAGCGAAACCGCGTAATTACGCGTGGTATCGCCATTTACGCATGCTGTAGTGAAGAAGACTTCAACGCCGAAAAGCCACCCCTTCACTCTAGTAGTCTTGTCTGTAGGGTTGAACATGGGCGGGTTGACGGTGAGAAAACTGAAACGAGAATGATTGAACTATGAATTAACTGAGTACAAGTACTAACCCTAATTGGGTTGTACCCCTTATGGGCTACCCCACTATAGCCTACACAATAGAGTGAGTGCAGCTCGTAGTCACGGTGAGCAGCAACGTGCAGCAGTACCCGAAGAGTGGTCATCTTCGGGGTGGGAGAGAAGGTATGAAAGTAGTCAACTCCCTGCCGCTGACTGAAGCCACGAGCCACGTAACGCGCCTTGAAGACAGGCGGAGAACCCGGCGGCCGCTTCACCCTGAAGATCCACATGCCACTGACGATGTTCGCCCCAGGAGGGTGGACAGCGTCAACGTAGGTGCCTGTGGACTTCCAGGAAGCCATCTCTGCATCCATAGCTGCCTGCCACTCAGAGGAGTAGGGACCCTCTATCGCCTCCGCGTAAGAGCGCGGAGTCGGGATGTCAAGTGCATCCGGGTCTCCCTCAGGGGTAAGCAGTACGGACACGAGATGAGGTGAAGCAGCAGCCAGACACTGGAACTCCTCCTGCCTGTCCTCAAGGACGTCCGTGCCAAGGGCACACTCACCCCCGACGGACGGGGGACAGACAGACTCAGACTCAGCGACAAGACTAGCAGCGTAGTCTAGACGACAGCGAGCAGCAAAGTCGACGAGCTCAGAACCTAAGGCAGACGCAGCAGTGGACTCGAAGGAAGGGTCAGTGACGACAGTAGCCAGGAGACGCGTGACAGTAGGACTGGCAGCACGAAGAGATTCCGACTCCGGGTCGGCAAAAGGAGGAAGAGAGGACGCAGGAGGACAAGGCAAAGGGGCACACAGAGGAGCAGTGGACGGACGCAGAGACATCCTGTGCGTGCTAGGGACAGGAGGAGGACGCTGACGCGAACCACGACCACTAGCGCGAGCAGCACGGACAGGCGACGCAGGGAGTAGACGCAGGCTCACGACACTCAGCAAGACCTCCAGTAGGACTAGTTTAGGGAGAAGGAGCAGGCAAAGGGGAGGTAGGCTGCAACTGTAACTGTGACGGGACTGGCTGTGGACACTCTAAAGAAGGAGGAGGACCAGTAGAAGGCGGAAGACCAAGAACCTGCTGCAGGAGTGGAACGAAGTACGGTCGAGGCCGCGCAGCGACGCCAGACACAGCAGGTACAGCACCAGCACCCCCAGCAGAAGCACCCGCTCCAGCTGCACCTCTAGTAGCGCCAGAACCTCCAGCAGTACCAAGAGTAGCTGCGGCAGGACCGCCAGCAGTAGTCTCAGCTCCAACACCCTCAGCAGCAAAAGCTCCAGTCGAACCCGCAGGCCCAGCAGCTCCAGTACTCCCAGTACGAGCACCTCCGGGACCCGCGACAGCAGCACCCTCAGTAGCCGAAGAACCTCCAGCACCAGCAGCACGCCTCCAGCGCCGGGCAAACCACTCGCGCAGCTCCCGTGGAGAGAGTGGCTCCCGCAGAGACAAAGCACCCGGAGAACCCCCAGGCAGAGCACCTCCAAGCTCAGCACGCTCAGGCTCAGCACCCCCAGGCTCAGCACCCCCAGGCTCAAGCAACCCTAAGCACAGTACCCTCAGACTCAGCACCCCCAGGCTCAGCACCCCCAGGCTCAGCACCCCCAGGCTCAGCACCCCCACTCGCAGCACCCCCAGGCTAAGTACCCCCAGTCGCAGCACCCCCAGGCTCAGCACCCTCAGCAGCACCAGAGTCACCAGTGACCTCGACAGGCTCGACTGCGTCTACCTGGGACACACCTGAAGGGGCAGGACCCTGAGGGGGGAGGGGGTCTACCGGAGGGGGACCTGGTACAAGGAAGAGCGGCGGCGGGGGGGGGGACGGAGTGCGGTAGGGGAAGAGGCGGTAGTAGGGGACCGACTCGTCAAACGTGACGTCCTGGGAGGACAGAACACGGCGAGAGGTGGGATGGTAGAACTGCCACCCAGGCGCGTCAGGGGGGAACCCCAGGAAGACGCAAGGAGCAGCACGAGGGGATAGCTTGTCCGCAGACAAGTTGCGGACAAACGCCCGAGATCCCCAGACCCGGAACGCCGACGCATCGCCAACCTTCCCCGTCCACAGCAAGGCTGGGGAGGTCTCCGGCCTGGAGACCCTGGGGTGTAGGTTGATCTGATGTGCCGCGTACCTCATCGCAAACGGCCACAGAAAATGGGGAGCAGCCGCATGCATCATGGACGTACGAGGGACGTCTATGACCATGCCAATGCGGCGCTCAGCAATCCCATTTTGCTGCGGGGAGTCCGGAAGCGTGAAGGTCTGACGGATGCCTCGTGCGCGACAGTAGGCCTCTCAGAAGGCCAGAAGAAAACTCTCCGCCTCTGTCCGAGTGTAGACGCAGAACAGGAAAGTCCGAGCCAAAGCTCCGCCTGAGCTGGAGACGAGCTGCTTGGATCAAGTCGATCAGCACCTCAGTGACATCGCCCTTGCTGCGCAAGGGGAAGACTGCGGTGTAACGCGAGTAGTCGTCAACAACGAGCAGGAAGTAGCGCTCGTGACCCTATCCACGGACGCGGGCTGGGCCCCACACGTCCATGTGAAGCATCTGCAACGGGGCCTCTGTCGGAGGAAACTGGGAGGAGTGAGGGGCAGCCCGCTGGCGCCCCTCGACACAGGGGACACAGGTAGGGCCAGGGCCCTGAGGAAGGGGAGGGAGGGACCGAGGGAGACCAGAAATAAGAAGACGGGAGGCCATGCCTCTGAGCCGAAGCAGAGAGGGGTGACCAAGGCGGTGGTGCCAGAGGAGAGTCTCGTGAGACAGGAGACGATACGAACAGGGGGCAGACTCAGGACCAGACATGGACGCTGCAGCAAACACTTGACCCAACGCAGTGACCCTACTAGACTCAACAACTGGAGGAGGCGCAGTGGTCAGTGTGTACAGGCTTGACCCCGGCCGACGGGTTAACGTAGCCAGGTGTCGGTTTGTGCTAGCCTCTATGCAGTGGGTCACCCGCTGACGCGCAGGAGTGAACTGGTGTACTCCATCATCCTGTAGGTCAGCACCACTCACCAGGTTTGTAGAGAACGAGGGGAGGTAAAGACCAGACAGGGTGCAAGAGGGAGCCGCCGGACACGGGAGGACCGTGGAGTAGTGAGATAGGACAGGACCCCGAGAAGGGTTAGCTGGAGACACCGCAACCGGCCGACTAAGCGACGTGAGTGTGGTGCGGTCCCGAAAGAAGGAGCGAGAAGCCCCAGAGTCAAGGGTGAAGGTGAGGGAAGCCGAAGCCGGCGTAGTACCTGAGAGCGCAGACTCACCAGTACCTGAGGACGCAGACGCACTAGCACCTAGAGAAGCAACGTCGCAAGCACCTAGGGCAGCCGCCCCACCAGTACCTAGAGCAGCAGTCTCAATGCCCGGA